AATTTTAAAATTTTTCTGGTGGAAATTATACAAATCAAATATACTTAATTAACAATTCCCTGCAAAATAATTTCTAGACAATTATTTTCCCTGAAAATCATTTTCTTTCCACCAATTTTCCACCCTTACAATCAACGGACCCTAATATCTACCAAACATGGACTTAATATTTTCTCACGTAATACTGAAATCTCTAACTTTTTTTCATTGAATTTGTATCTCAACATTTCCATTAATCAGTACAATTTATTCTTGACGATGATTTCTATCAAAATATTCAGTTTGTATACTTTAAAATGAAGGAAAAATATTGTTATACTTTTCTAATTATTATTTTTAAATAACGATGGGTACATATGTCATTTTACGACATCCTAATGGACTTTTGGACGAAAATCATTATCAAAGACAAACCAATTAATAAGAGATTGAAAATAAAATTGAGACTAAAAAATTGAGGACACAAATGTTACAATGAGAAAAATTTGAGAAAGTGAAATTAAAATGTGGAAAAGAACCAATGAGAGAATATCCTCTTAAACATTTAGCCCCTATTTGGTTCCAATTTTTAAAAAATTATTATTTTTTCTCTAATTCATTTTTAAGTACACATTTTATGAGATCCACAACTTTTATTAACTTTTTAACAAAACATTTTATCAACTTTTACTAAAAAATTATTTTTTTTATCAAAATCATACAGGACCTTAATTCCTTCACGATCCACCCACGGGTCGAAGATAGGGTTGTTGGCCAAGGCTAGAGTCCAAGGCAACCCCAGACCATTTACATTTTTGACTTGTAATTTTTTTTTTTTTAAACTCGTACTAGCCTAGTGATGATAAAAAAGCTCGTCGACTGGAGCAGCTCGGGGTTCGGCCTGGAAAAAGCTCGAGTCGAGACCGAGCCCCATTTTGGGACGTCAGCTCGAGCTAGGGCTAGCCCGTGGCTCGTCACTGGCCCATGACCAAGTAATATAAAAAAAAAATTTAATTTTTTAATTTTTCTTTTAAGTTTAAATGTGTTTTTCATATATATTAATATTTAGTTATTATTTATAACACGTATAAATTGCACAAATTTTAAATAGATTATAAAGAATTATAGATTTATAATGAATTAAAAAAACAAAAACACGGGTCGGTTCGGCCAGCTATGGCTCGAGCCGAAAGTTCTGATCGAGCCTCATTTTTTGGCTGAGCTTTTTGCTTGGCTCGACTCGACCCCAAAAAGGCTCGGATCTATTTTGCTTGAGTCGAGCCCAAACTTTGAGTTTCAGCTCGTGGCTTGGCTCGACTCGTTGACATAGCTATACTGGCCTAGTACAAAAAATTTATTAGCTTACATCTGACCCCGTCCCGGACTCTAATGGCATTTTTCATGTATTGTCAAATAATTTCCCATGTTCTTTCTCTGAAAATAATCAAATTGAAAAGGTATAAAAATAGAGTATCGAACTACTTGTTATTCTTGTAATCTAACGTCACAAAAAAATAAAATAAAAAAACCCAAATGGAATGCTTAATGCTTTTTTTTTTTAAATCAAGTACTAACTAGCATATAAAATGACACATTATACAACCAACACATTAAAAAATATATCCAAATAATATAATTTTTCTGTTGCTATTATAAAGCTAGCAAGCACTGAAGACTACACAGTAAAGAACACCAACTATTAAACAAACATGCCATTGACCAACAATTCCCACTAAATACTAAAGTTAACAAAAACCAACAATCTATTAGCAAAGTTTGATTTCGACCCTGATGAACCTAGCACCTCGGTAAACCAATGAGCAATCACCATAATCGTCATCAACATCGCATAAAAGATAAGAGCAAAATCAACGTGTGGAAGGTGACTCAAAATCTGACAATAAAGTTTTTTCGCCTTGAAGTGCCGCACTTCAAGAACAAAGTCGCCTTATTCCATTGTCACATCTTAATTGTGCAAGCTATTAACAAAATTACATAAATAGTAACAAGATACTAAAAAATCATATCTTCATTCTCACAAATGAATGGAAGATTATACAAAATATATGTCCGTGCCTGCGATTTACAGTCTGTATAATATCCTTCAAAATCGAGAACTATAGTTTCCAACCTTTAGTTTGGTTGCACCATTAATGCCAAGTAGAAATACAACGAGTAAAAACATCAATTCCTAGGTCAGTTTCTTGCTACAAAAGTAAAATGCAAAAGGAATGAACACACGGGGATTATCAATGATAAAAAATTGTCATTCCTGCCCATCTAGTTTTCCAAAGAGCTCTTTCCAATGAGATGCTGCTTCTTCTTGGGACCGGAAAGACCATATATGAGGCTTGGCTTTTTCCCGAGTCTCTATAATTTCCTGCATCCAGAAGTTTTATTGTTATTCTCCTACACGAGAAGTCTTCAACTTTGGCAGGGAAACCCTTGCTCATCCTTAGCCCCGTGAAAAGTAAAGGTGGCTCCAAAAGCTCATAAAAGATGACAAGGAAATTGTAATGCTGAAGACTGTCGTGATAGATGAAGTGAGTGTGCTGATATTTAATTGATAAACTTGAAGTGATTTTGTAATGCTATGTAACCACAATTACATCCAAAGCCATGTTTGCTTTTAGCAGCTAATCATAGGGAGAAAATGAAACACAGCCTATGGCAAAACATACTCCTCATTGTCTTGTAACTTATTGTAACTAAACAAGTACTTGTAACGTAAAAAGAGCATATTAAAAAGACAGTTACACTGAATATATTAAAGTAAAAAGCATCCAAACTCCAAATGCTGTTGCAGGTACATAGGGGGAAAAAGCAGCATTGTCCAGAAAATTATCCTATGAGTATGATGATAACTGAATTGGGGTGGGGGGTTATTGCTGTGGATACTGAATTTGTTTACCATCAACTGTGTTGCCTGTGGTATGATAACTAGAACAAATAGTTGTAGTCTAGACAGATCAGTTTTGATATAGAATGTAACTGGCATTTTTATGAAGTACTTTGATGCAGTGATGTAAATGCAAACATAAAAATAAATTGTTGGAAAGATAGAGGGACGAGAATATGGCAATATGAAAGTAAACAATCACAAACACAAGATTTACGTGGAAAATCACAGGCAGAGGAGGAGAATTCAATAAATGACAAAAGAATACAATGATTTTGTATTTTCAACTTGTTCTCTATCAAAATAAAGAGCCAACTATATATAGAGTACACGTCAAACCTTAATTATAGTGTTTTAGATGGAAACAATATCTTAAAATTCGTCAAATCGCGAAACGGGTCTGGGTTGGATTATACCGAGCGCTCGAGTGGCGACCTCAAAGGAAGCGAGCGCTGTGTCTGACACTCGAGCACCAAGTTCGCGGGCAGCGAGCGGCGAAGTTATCACTCAGGCGTTGCAGGTATGGCACTCGGCACCTCGTCTCT